AAAGGCCGTTGGGGCATCCGGGATCATTAACAACCCACATTTTTATTATGGAACACTATGCAATGAATTATCTGATACTGATTTCAGACAAGTATCTCCTCCTCCAACATTTATTATCGATTCACCAAGGTATTTTGCTTTTTAATGTTTGAAATGAAATGAAAGCTGTTTTTGCAATGTGTAAACATCAAGGTTTACTCTTGTGATGAGTTCGGATCTGCTAATCACATACATTTTATAATCGTTGAAAATTGTTGTAGCTGTAAAACAAATCTGCACAAGCATCTTTAAATAGGCTTAAAAAAACTTGAGCATAAATAGAAAATTTTGTTACAACAAGCATTACTCTATAATTAACAGAAAATATGCAGTTGTTAAATGCTAACAATCTCTGAATCCGTATAGTAAATATTTATTAAAGTAAATATTTGGCAGACGGACATTAAATTTCCTTTAACAATTTCTTTAAAATAGTTAATATGTATACGTATTATTATTGTATTATGATAATGATACACCTACATATTTTTAACTGTTATTATTGCCATTATTATGCTATAATGCATCATTATTATGTAATAAAATTCGTAAATTCTCAGAAATTAATCTCTTAATCGAGTCGTAAGGCATCGTTAGATCTCTCTTGCGTGCTTGTATGACGTAAGCACATCCAGGTAGTACTGAAAGACAAATGGCTCAAATTCCATGTTTGAATTTTCATGTTTCCCACGCTGAAAAACATAAATTTCTCTGTAGACTCATTAAATTCGTTAATATTAATTTTAAAATATAAGACAGTTCTGCTTTCCCTTCCTTTGCCAAATTTGGCCCGATACTGCAAAATGTTAGACTCCTTAAAATGATGTAAAATATTGTCTAACACAATATTGACAATCAAAACTTCTAGTAATTCAATAAAGTTATTTCGAGAGGTTTTCTAGAATCCATCCACATTTTACTTTTTTACTCCCCACTAAGTAAATAAAAACACTGATAGTATATCAGAGTCTGTTTAGACATTCAAACCCTCAAGTGCTTGTAGGTATGGAGTATGAGATAATGATGTTAATACATTTGAGTTACTTGATTTCTGAGTTTTTTTTTTTTTCTCTTTTAATTATGTACATATATATATATAATATTAAATATCAGGAGTCCATAAAAAATAATGTATATAAGTTAAGAGAATATCAGATAGAAGTGGAAAAAAGTGCAGTACCATGAGTGGAACTCGAATTCTAGAGCTTATGATTGTTAACGGGGCGTGCTTCCCAATAACGAAGTATGAAGAGTTACTGGGAGGCGGAACCCAGTCCCAAATTCTGACGAATCTTTCTGTTTTTCTTTCTCTGACTACGTTATCTATAAAAGTTGCTTGTTTATTTATTAGCTCAAAGAGGCAATTTTCCCAGAAGGGCTATTAATTTCGTTTTGGGATTTTGCGTTGATTCACTTAACGGCAATCGCTTTTAATGTGCCACCAAATATATGCTGTATTAATTAAAGGGAAATAATAAGATCTGCATAAATTTTTGTGTTCTTGCATTGTATAAAAAACGTACTTAAGCCCAAATTTTGACGACTACGTCTCCACCGAATATGGGCATCTGAAGCCCAAATTTGGAAGATGTTTTATCTTTTCATATTTTATAAAGTTTTATTATTTTTGATTAAAACCACGATTTCAAGAAGCATCAACACTATACGGGGGAAAAAACATTGTACTCATCTTAGAAACGTGTACGGAATTCTAAGATGTGCTTTTTTAAATATTGGTGATATTGCTGTTGATTGAATTTTAAGCTTTAAGTGCAAAGAACAGATATTTATAAATAATGTAACACCAAAACTTAAAAAACCTCTTTGGAGTAAATAAAATCTGAATGCTTCAGTTTTTTTTTAGTCCAAAGGATGTGAATCCCGAGGATTATTAGTTTCGTTTTGGCATTTGCTCGACGGATAAATGTCGGTTCACTTTTCAACTGTTGCCATAAATGTTAGAGTCCCTTATATTTGAGAAATTAAATAATGAAAATCTGCGTAATGTTGTATATTTCTCATTGCATAAATAACGTACATAGAGTCATCGAATATGAATAACGTAATCCTCAACGAATATGAGCATGTGGACCATTTTAAATTTGAAATGTTTATGATTTCTCCTTTTTAAAACTTTGACGAATTTGGATTACAAATCAGATTCAAGAGAGCAATGGCAACTTTGCAGAAAAACATTTTATCTCCAGCGCGTGAGTCCTCTTAATCGGAATTCTAAAGATTTCTCGTTTAAAACTATTTTGCGATATTGCTGTGCACACTGATCTTATGGTTTAAGTCGGGAACATGATATTAATAAAAAGGTAACACAAATGTTAAAACGCCCCTTTGACGTAATTTAAATCTGAAACATTCAGATTTTTTTTTAATTTTATTTATTTATATATATTTTTTTTAATAATACATTTTGAAGAAATATATATAGTCTTCAGATGGGTGATGAAGCACGTTCTGATGGCAACGCACTGCTCGAATATAATTATTTAATACTTTCAAAACATTAAGCAATTTCAAGCAAAATTCATAATCAGATACATTGTGATAATATTGAATTTTTCTGTGACTAGGCGCACTTTGCAGGTTCAGTAAATAATGGGAAACTATTAAATGCTGATATTTCGATTTCAAAATGCTTTTTAATGTAATTTATTATTTTATGGAAAGACACGAATAGCTACCTGCAGCTAATAGTCTAGTCTTATTTATTGTACTGTATCTACAAATAATCAGTAATTGTAGCAGAAGCAGTCTTTGTAATCTCTTTTGCATCAACAGTTTAATAAATTCCTATCCATCTTTCTGTGATGAGTAGTTTCAGGTTTATAGCAAATCTTGGAAAACACATTAAGAGATTGAAGCGTTTGGCACTCTGGATTTTTCAGGTCTTAATTTAAAGTAGAAAAGAAAAGTAAGTAATTTAAATCACTTTTTAGTTTGAAGAAAATTTTACATGCTTTCTTAAACTCAAATTCTAGTAGTAATATCTATTATCTATATAAAAACAAACATTTCTAAAAACTATTTCCCTTCATTTCTCGTACACTCAAAGCACTGCATTGGAGTAATTTCATTTTAACATTATCGGCATAATAGAACATTAAAATTTTTTTACTTCCTTGTACGAAATAAAAAGGAAGTATTGTAATCGCGAAAAGTTTCAGGCAACATATTTCAAAAAACATTTTTTGACCGCTATCGATCAATTAACGATATTTTTGCTGATTCTGTACGTAGACAGAATAAAAGACTCTTTCCTCCAAAAATTATAAAACTGCTTTAAATTAATCTGAAGAGACTTTTTCGTGGCTTCTGTACAACGTTGCATGTACGTACATATCTCAACTCAAAAACGTACCTCAAACTTTAAATTTTGTATTAGGACTACTATAACTGTAGGTTGCAATCGGCCGCGCCAACTATATAATATATTATATATAATCCACTCTGTTACCCCCGGCCAGTGATCTCAGTTTCTTCACTCTTATATTTGTAATTGTATATTTTTTGCTTAAAAATTGATTGTGGTTTTTTGATCCTCCGGTTAAGGTTTTTATGCTTTCGTACTTCTGGAAGAATATTTGTACATTATCAACAATTTAAAAGTCGCACACAAAAATACGCCTTCATTTATTATGCAATTAATCATGCTTAATCCTTTCTGAAATTTTTTCGAGGAATAGTTTTTAAGATTTACTTCAATTTTTTAATACAGATTTTGAGTTTTTATGTATTTTTGCCTGTCGCGAAGTGAACTGAATTAATTGAATGAGATACCATCGTCGTGAAAAACTGCTTCTTTCTGTTTTGTTTGCTAATTTCTTTCATACATCTTTGCTTTATAATATTGAATAGAACATGTGGCACGTAATTTTTCGAATGATATAAATTTGGTGCATTCAAGTTCTTAAAAACACTATAGTAATTTAAAGTGCATTTATCTCCTGGGGGTTATGCGCTGTCAACGAAGTAGATTAATTCATCCATCAATTTATGAATTCAAGAAAAAATGTATATTATATTCCGTACAAGGAAGTCATGTGGTGTACACATCAGATTTTTGCATATCACTTTTAATAATAAAGGGATTAAATCTTTCATTTTTAAGGACATGTTGTCAAGAAAAGAGAAAAATAATTGCTGTTGCGAATTATTATGTCGTTTAGAAGGCTAACAAACAACTTGACACTTCGCGTTCCACAAGAGAATTTTAATTTACTTAGCATTATTTTAAAAACGTTCTCGATGTTTTCATGTCATGTAAGACCATATTTTATTTTAAGCTAACAGGTAAGATTTTATTAATTCATTTCTTTTGATTTCTTCCACGTCTAAAATTAGTCAGTTTCCACCAAGTAATGAAATATTAGCATAAAATAAAAAATGCAAAGAAATCTTGCCAAAGTAACACATATTATTGCTAACAGCGGTCATTTGCTTTTTATGCTTCGTTAATATTGTCCTGTGGATAGTTAAGTTTGAAATGTTGAAAGAAAAATGAGTTGTTCTGAAGGGTTGCACTGTAAAATTTATTTGAATTATTTCTTAAGTTAAACCTATCCTATCCTGGACATCTGCTCTTCGTTAACTTCGCCAGAAATATAAATCAAGTGAGCACAGGCAAATTATACCAAGTGTGCTGTATATCTGTTTTTACTGGCCGGTATGCTGTGATGATTGTTGGTGATTTTAACTTTCATTGGAAGGGATCTTAGCTAAACAGCTGCGCTCCTTTTTTCCCCGCAAATATTTGAACAATTGTTGTCTTCTCAGGCCTTACAAGCAAATTTTAGTTTCTCAAACATATTTCGTTTCTTTTAGCTTCATCCCGATCTATAAATAAATATTATGAATGATCCTTCTCGCTGTCAATAAAACTATTTTTCATTCTGTATCCAGTGCTGAAATAGTAAATTTTTTTCATGATGTTATTTCGTGAATTTATTTTCAGATTAATAAACATATTAATATTCACCTAGTAAAACTAATTTTAATCAAATTAAATTTAAAAAAGGTGGTAGCTATGACAGCTACAACAGAGTCCTTTATACTTCCAAAGCAACCTCACCAGCATTACTTTATTTTAGACTTAGAGAGGAAAGATGAAGGGTACATCCGATTAAATTAGTTAATTGGAACACTAATGTTTTTGAGTAACTAATTTTAGATTAACTGGCTAATTTTAGATTAATAACATATTAAAATTTAATGTCTTATAGTTAACTTTAAATTATCTGAAACCCATTAATGGCTTCAGCGTTTTTAAAATCATACGTTTCATATATTAGTTTATTAAACCTGGAATTTTATAATATACCTGACGAAAAAGAAACTAAATCATCTTTACTCATTATTTCAATGCTCAGCTGTTAAATAAATGATTATATTATTAGTAAGGAAGTATGTAAATTGAGGTTTTTTACTTATCTCTCATATAACCTGGCATTCTGAGGAGAAAAAAAAAGAAAAGAATTACGAGCATTAATGGTCCTTAATTCTTTCCCGCAGCAAAGTAATTGCACGAAAACACAAGGTTTGAGGACACCAGTTTCTAGATGTATGAACAGTGAATGATATGCATTCTGAAGAAGTGATCTATCCTTATCATTCTTGAATAACAAAATCAAACTCTAAATAAAATACTTAAAATTCTTTTCTCTAATATATCGCCAGAAATTAATGCAAGGAAAGATTTCTAAGCGGCAGATTTTCGATAAAATAAGAATTCTGCCTTTTTCCAATTAATAATGAATTTCATTGGAATGTAAGGAATACGAGCGATGTTTAATAAAACTTATCTTTAGATTTAAGAAAATTTATTTTGATAATCTTATAGGAGAGATTTACATTTTCTTAAATAATATCTCATCTGAATTATATATTAAGGAGATTAAAACCTCAAAATTGACACCACAAAATTTAGCTCTGCAGAGCAATTTTGTCTGAAGATGCCTGATAGTACCATTTCTATCTTGAAACAGTAAATGTTTGTATTTAAAACTCATTCTCGAAAATGAATTTTATCATTTATTAAACTTGGTTATCGAAAGGTTTTAATTATACATTTCCTGTTCTAAATTTTCCATTTCAATGCTTTTTAGTTAATAAACAATTTTTCTAATCAGTTCATTTTTCAATGATAGTTTTAAATGGTAACTCGTTTTAATGATAATTCATATGGTTATCTTCCAAAATATAATAGATTTTGCTTCAAATATTTACTAGAAATAATATCAATTACTCACTGGAAATAATTTGAATTTAATTCAGCAGCGTTATGTAATAGGATACTTTCACTGTTCTGAAGTAGATCCTCTTAATTCTTGAATACAAAACTTTTGTGTTTATAATCTTAGGTATGTAATTCTCCTTTGCCCAATTTCTATTTCTGCAATGATATCTTTTTGGATTATTTCTGTAATGATATCTATTGATATTTTATTACGTGAAAAATTTTGAAAAAATAAGAGAAAAGCTTGTGGAGTCTACGTGTTCTCAAGCTTACAATTTGAGTAATTTTATTGACAACTGTGTGAACATTTGGATCGTTTTAATTCTGTGGCTTGTAACTGCAATGAGTAATTTTCAAATATTTTCTTCAAACTTTCAACAAAAACACCTAAAATGGTAGTTTTTATACCTAATCTATGTGAGCAAAATTTATTTTCATCATAATTTCTGGCGCTTCGCTTCTCTGATTTCATTCTACTCCCTGTCCTTTCTCACAGTTTTGATACAGTTCAGCATAATGACTTTTATTACTATAATTTTCTAACAAAACACCTTGATTTCCTTTGAACGGATGAAAACCATCAGAAATTTTCTCTACCACTATCATTTTCAGTATATTAGTATTATTCACATCATTTACAATAACTACAAATCTTTTCTTTTCCCTGTTGAAAGCGAAAGTATAACTATTTTTTTCGCCATCCTGGATTTACGTTGCCTTTATTTTAGTAATTTATATTCTTAGTAAATTCTTACTCTAATCATTACAAAAATAGATGTAATTTCTGTTTACATATAATAGTCTCCCCCCCCCAAAAAAAATATACTTAGTTAAGAATGAAATAATTTTGCTTTTCTGAATACAAATACGAAACATTTTTTACTAGTTCAAGTTTTCTTTATTAGTACAAAGTGTTTATTATTTTTTGAAGATCCACAGGATAAGACTTTTATGAAATACCGATGCTTCGTTCAAGAAATACAGATGGCTTTTTCTGGTTAGGCTTATTAGTGGTAACATGGTTTATTTTATAAGTAATATAAGTATGTCGTATAGTCTTACTTGTTCTTATTTATTGCATAATTTTATAAGGTATAATTTAAGCAATTAGATGTGGAGAAACTCAATAATCTTGATGAATTTTTGTGAACATTATCACCTTAGCGTGATAATGACATTTATCACCTTGGCGACATTTATCACCTTGGCATTTATCACCTTGACATTTATCACCTTGTTGACATTTATCACCTTGGCGACCAAATTTGAATACAAAAATAAATCTCAAATGTTAATTAGCGTCATTCAGTTTAGCACAACGAAGTGCTAAACTGCTAGTCGAATACTGCTAGAATTAATATACCACTGAATAGAAAGCTGCTCTAGATGTAAAGATATGTATTTAGCATCATCAACAATACAACAAATAAACTAAGTAAGTTTCTCAACGTAATGAAATTATGTGTGAGAGATGTTGAGTCAACTTCGTATGAGATTGCAATCATATTGTTAGATGCTATTTGAAGCTTAATAATTAAGATAGAAATCAGTTGTGTTTAATTCCTCATAGTTTAAACTTCTATAGAACATTTTTAAAATCATAAATCTGTTTTACAGAAATATCGTATTAAGAGTCTAAATTTAATGATAGTAAAATCATACATTACTACTAACTTAAA